TTGACCCATACAATGTATTGTTGGCTATTGCTAAAAATATACCCCAGCGACTTAAGACTGGTTTTGTGCTCCAGGTCACATATGTTCCTCTAAATCACTCACATCATCCAAATATTGCCCTAACACTCACTCACAGCGTATCTTGTGGTCATTTATCTTTAGACAGAGAGTCAAATGTCTCCACAAGGACAGTAGGCCTAAAACCTGAAATTTTTGACATTGTGGGGACATTTAGTCGGTCCCCATGAAAAAAGAAGTGTTATAATGAGAGTAATAACTTGGCAACATTTTCATAGGAATATCTCATATTTCATATATTGATCTGTAATTTCTTGTGTTTCCCCAAAATGCCCGATTAACATGCCGTTTGTCCTGGTGTCCTCTACAGAAGACATGTATGCAAATTATGCCCCGTTTCATAACAAAAAGCCATATTTTTGTTAATCTGCGATTCTAATAGAAATGATTTTAATGCACAAAACTCAGTGATGATGTGTACAGACAGAGCATGGTAATAAACCCATTCACCCATAGCCCGGGCCCTATGAACACAACAGTAGCGAAGAAGTAGAGAGTCCACCAGAGCGCAGCACAGGCCTGTCAGTCTAAGCCAGTTTCTTCTGATCCTCTGTTAAATGTGTTGAAGTTATATCAAATAAACTGTCAGAAAACCACAGATGGTGTGATGAACATTTCCTTCATTCCTCTGCCGAAACAGTCACCTCAACATGTTTCATTTCTAAATAATCTACAGCGTTGCATCTGATACTCTGACCAGATGTGGAGGGTCGTTTTCTTTTAGGAGAGTAAAAGAAACGACAGGTTGATAAAGTTCAGCAGATGTTTTTCCTACGAAAGTCAGTATATCATCAGATGAAGTAAAGCAAAAATAACTGATGAAGATGTGCTAAAAGTTTTCCAAAGCAGTTTTAATGTGACCTTCATATCCTGAGCAATCTGAGAAAGATCTAAAACAAAGTGGATTATTATGCATTAGACATAACTAAGAATTCATAAACATAATCAGAGCAATCAAATGCACAAACTTCATCTTTAAATAATACCATAATGGCTAACACTTTAGATTAGGGAACACATATTCACTATTAACTAAGAGTTTTCCCTCAACACACTCCTAATTTGCCGTTTATTGATAGTAAGGTAGCTGTAGTAGTAGTTAGAATATGTTAGAATACTAATAAACAGCCAGTATTCTAGTAATATGCATGCTACTAAGCAACTAGTTAACAGTGAATGGTGTTCCCTAATCTAAACTGTTAATAAAATGCAATGATAAAGGTAATGAACGATAATGATCGAACAGCACAGCATCATCCTAGTTCAGGGCTCATTAATAAAGCATTATGTTATGCATGATACTGGTTATTCTCAGTCCTGTGGTGTTTTCACACAAAGTGAGTCCAGAATCATTAAAGAGATTCACTGAAGCTTGAAGAGTTCAGTAACATCACGATGAGGAACATGTGTCACGGGTTCATCTGTGTGTGGACGGTATTAAGAGCAGCTGTGAACCTTCACTGCAATAATCATTGTGTGTGTGTGTGTGTGTGTTTATCAGTTGCCCTTCAGGACGTTGCAGTCAAAGCATCACTGGGTCACTGCAGGTCAGACTCTGACAGTTCACCAAGATGCATTGCAAATAGTTGAGCACAATCTAAATATTTACAAGCTCTGATATCAGAACATGGAAAAACACTGGAAAACCGAAACAAACAAATGATCATTAACACTTAAACGTGGACCACCAGCACATGCAGCCTCACTGTGGGAAAAAAAAAGAGACTCGGCCACACATTTTCATCAAGGAAAGGTTTATATTTCAGAGCTTTGATGGAGATATTCCACCTTCAAATACTTAAAATACCATTAGATGCATTGTTAAAAATGTACAGTGTCATTATTCTCGATCATTCTTGTGATTTAAAAGCTTAATGTCTCTCTTAACATTGCAGTTTCACTTCATTCAGTGTGATGTCTTTGAATAAAAAAAGAAGCAATTTATACATGTACTGCATGTTTAAAAAAAAAAAAAAAAATCTTAAAAATATATCTTGTTTAAATCAAACAGCACCCTAACAGGGTTTCTTGAAATGAGGAGTATTATTTCTTTCATTAAAGGAAGAGTTCACCCAAAAACAAATATTTGCTGAAAATGCACTCAACCACAGGCCATCCAAGATGTAGATGAGTTTGTTTTTTCATCAGAACAGATTTGGAGAAATGTAGCATTACATCACTTGCTCACCAATGGATCCTCTGCAGTGAATGGGTGCCGTCAGAATGAGAGTCCAAACAGCCGATAAAAACATCACGATAATCCACACAATGATCAATTAGCATCTCGTGAAGAGAAAACCTGAAACCCATCACGACGTTTTTAACAATAATTTCTGATCAAAATATGAGTCCATAATCCATAATAACGTTTCCTCCAGTGAAAAATCCATCTCCTGAAAAGCAAGGTTATGGATAGACGATTCATATTTTAGCCGGAAGTGATGGTTTGAAGTTAAAACTCCTTAATGATGGATTTTTGCTTCACAAGACATTAACTGATGGACTGGAGTGGTGTGGATTATTATAATTGGACTCTCATTCTGACGGCACCCATTCACTGCAGAGGATCCATTGCTGAGCAAGTGATGAATGCTACATTTCTCCAAATCTGTTCCGATGAAGAAATAAACTCATCTACAGTTTGGATGGCCTGAGGGTGAGTTCATTTTCAGCAAATTTTCATTATGGGCTGAACTATTCCTTTAATAATCACAGCATAACTAGTTTAAAATGTACATTAGATAATACAACCAAAGAAATAGTAGGTCAGTCCATTTGCCTCTTTTCTTGCTGTCATCCAGCCGTCATCAAACATGTCCGGCAGCAGAACTGACGAAAGAGCTTCTTCTCACATAGTCGGTTCGACTTGACCATCTCGCAGAAGACTTCATCCGCTGGGAGAGGGAAAGAGAAAGTTCAGACTTCAGTCATGTCTCTTTATCAAACACATCGCCGATCTGAATGATCCTGGTGAGTCTGCCACCTGTCATGTCCCAGAGTTTCTTAAATGTTTTCCTCAAACACACTTTTAAAAATAAAGGCTCCAAAAGGGTGTTTTTACAGTGATGCCATAGAAGAACCATTGTTGGTTCCCCAAAGAATGGTTCCCTTTCAGTGAACAGTTCATAAATCAACCATTTTGAAGAACATTAAAAAAATGTAAAGAACCTTTTCTGCATTTGAAAGGTTCCATGGATGTTCAAGGTTCTTAATGGAACCATCAATACCAATAAAGAACCTTTATTTTTAAGAGTCTAGGATGAAACCCAGATGCCCTACACTTGAATCAGAAGTGCCACTAACAGCAGTGGACCGTCTTCTGTCCCTCTTTCTCCTCTCTGGGTGATCTGACGGTCATGTTATGTAAGTTTGGACAGACAGAAGGTTCCAGAGGAATGAGGGGCAGCGGATCCTGAGGAAAGCATTGTTGCTGTCCTGCCAGTGCTCTGCCTCACTCACATTTTTTCCCAGCCTTTCACTCACGTACAACCCTCTTCCCTTTCATCTTCTGAAATCTTTTTACTCAGTGTGTTCCCCTTTCTTCTCTCTCTAATGTCAAGTGTTTGTAGCTGTGCAACAACAAACTTTGAGAAGATTTGAAGTCTGAAAGCCTCGTAAACACCCGGGTCAGGTCAGTTTGACACGACATCATCCATATGAATTACTCCATGGGACCGTAACAACAAAAAGCTCCTTGCAAAACTTTATGAAAAAAAATTCCATAAATGAATAAATAAAACAAGGTCAAATGGAAGTCAGTGAATACATATGAAAGTTTTTGGCTTTAGAAACACGCAACAATCTCATAAAAGCTGACCATGCTCTCTGTCCAAACTTCTTTGCAACAAAATAAAATGGACCTGTTATACTTAATGTCACGGTTCAGCTACTGTGAAGGAGCGAGGAACGAGGAGACGAGGGAATAACAATAATAGCAGTTTTTTTTTTTTTAAGATTTATTTTTGGCGTTTTTGCCTTTTATTGACAGGATAGTAGTGAGACAGGAAGCGAAGTGGGAGAGAGAGGGGGGATGGGATCGGGAGCCGGGACTCGAACACGGGACGCCCGAAGCGCAATGGCGCTACATGTCGACGCGCTGCCCACGAGGCTATCGGTGACGACATAATAGCAGTTTTTAATCCTCCAAATCACTGGGAACACAGAACAGGCAGGAACACACACACGGAGCACATGGAGTAGATCCGACAAGGAAACATGGGGCAGACTACACTATAAATACTACACTTAACGAGGGAATTGGGGAAACACACCTGGGAGCAATGAAACCCAATCGGAACAGGAACAGGAAGGGAACCAAATATGGGCATGTCACACACGAGGGAAAACTAGGTCACGGAGCACATGGAGTAGATCCGACAAGGAAACATGGGGCAGACTACACTATAAATACTACACTTAACGAGGGAATTGGGGAAACACACCTGGGAGCAATGAAACCCAATCGGAACAGGAACAGGAAGGGAACCAAATATGGGCATGTCACACACGAGGGAAAACTAGGTCACGGAGCACATGGAGTAGATCCGACAAGGAAACATGGGGCAGACTACACTATAAATACTACACTTAACGAGGGAATTGGGGAAACACACCTGGGAGCAATGAAACCCAATCGGAACAGGAACAGGAAGGGAACCAAATATGGGCATGTCACACACGAGGGAAAACTAGGTCACGGAGCACATGGGGAGCAAAACAAACACACTGACAGTCCATATTCCTGACACTTAAAAGGGACAGTTCATTAAAGTCAAACTCCTGTCATCATTCACTTACTCTTACGTATCATTTTTCTTCTTTCATCAAACACAAAATCAGATGTTTGACAGAATGTCTCAGTGACTCTTTCCCCCCCACACAGAATAAAGAAAATCAGGGTTTGGAATATAAGGGAAGTAAATGATATATTTTTTAACAATTATTTTATTTTTAAAGCCTGATTTACAAATAAAACTGGTTCTATTCAATGAATCAGTCACAGTAACTCGCGAATCAGTCGTAAACCCATGAGTCGTTGTTGTATATTATTTAATGCTCAATGCTCGTGCAAACCACTATTGACTGGTTGGGCATACGACAGAGAGAGATCAAATATAATTAAATGGATTATCTAAATTCATTTAAATTAATCGATTATTAAGAAATTAGATGTTTGACTCTTTTCCATGCAACAAAGGTGGATTTTAAATGTCAAGCTCCTAAAAGGCAAAAAAGCACCTCTTTTAAAGTCAAACAGTTGAGTGAACAGACCAAAATTGAAGTGCCTAACATCTCAGCAGTGCTGGCTGACCGAAGGCACGTACCGTTGTTACAGGTGGCGTTCATGATGCAGGTCCGGCTGACGAGGCTGTATCTGTCTTTACACTGCGTGCAGCTCGTTCCAGGACCCTGACAGCTCAAACAGTGCTCCTCACACCTGAAAATCCACAGCAGAACCGCACATGAGCTTCCGCTTTTTATGCCTATAAAGACTCGATTTGATGACAGTGACAGATTTCCTGAAAACACGAAACTAGCAGGCGATCAGAACAGGAGCATCATGACATGAATATGTACGACCGGGACTGATGCATCAATGCCAGTGAGTGACAGCCATCAACAGAGCCAGGGCCTTGAATCATAAAGTGCTGCTTTAGTACTAGTAGTTTGAAGGAAAATGTAAGACCAAGTAAAGAAAATTTAAGGAATACACTGAACGAAACAAAATATGGTCTCTAAACGTAAATGTCCTGTATTAGCAAAGTTTTGTCTAAAGATCATTTACTTGAGAAGCAAAATTACATCAAATAATAAGTCTTGTTTTATGAGAAATTGATCAAAATAAAGTGAGTTTATGATTAAAACAAGAACAAATATCTGCCAATGGCCTCCGAAAAATACACTTAATTGAAAGGACAAATCCCCATTAACAGATGTTTGTTCTTGTTTTCTGCATAAACTCACTTAATTTTGTTCAGTTCCTCAGAAAACAAGACTTCATATGTTCAATTTGCGTCTCAATTAAATGTATCTTGATTTATGTTAAGATATTTGTATTGGAAAAGAAGATTAAAAAAAAAAAGATTGAGGAAGATATACATTTTTTGCAGTGCATGCAACATCTAATGCCATGACTTTATATGAATTTAAGACTTTCTGCTCTGATTTAAGACCTTTTAGGCCTTCATTTATGGAAGTGCAAATTAAGACTTTTTAATACATTTTTAAAACCCGCAGGAACTCTGTAGTACTTTTCAGCATTAGTTAGGCTACTTTAGTAAACTCTTGTTCTAATCAAGAGCTGAAGATGATACGAGTCAAACTGTGCCATAAAACAGATCCTGGATCCTGGAGGAGAAACACTGAGCTCATGTTTATGAGCTTGTTAATTTAACTGCCCATTTCAACACCTCAGCACTCTGCATCTACTAGTCCAGGTCATTAGTTTTCGAGTTCAGAGAGATCAGGTATCCTGATGTGTATCTGATATTGATGCTGCTGCTACATTTGACAAATATCTCCGTTTACTTCATTTCTATGGCATTATTAACCTAATATGTATATTAGTGAGTGAATCCCCTAAATTCTAGTTTTGTGTGCGTACGGAACAGAACTCACTCTCGAAATATTACAGCAACCAAAGACTCGTTATGTCCCGCAATTTTAACTTAACCACCGTCGACAGAGCTGTCGCGTTTGTTTTTGTTTAGAGAGCGCGCTCTTGAAGGGTTGCCATGTCCACTTATTTTAATTGCTTATTGTTTGGGCTCAGCTAAAAAAGGCGTCCAGGTTATGGAGTTCATAAAGCAGGCACGCGCAGGTCGTGATATTTCAGTATGTGGCATATTTCCAAGTTTGGATTTATTATTGCCTTGTTCTTGTTTGCTGTTTTTTATTGCAAGATCTGGCAACACTTTGAGTCAAAATATACCTCGTTTACTGTGATTTTTTTTGTGTCGCAACTCTGATACATGGTTAAATAATGTCGTTAACAACTACTTGTCATGTGGCCAAAACGGAGAAAAGGATGACAAAATTGAAATTTCGGAGTGAACTGTTCCTTTAATGCGGATTCAAAGATTGTGAAATTTTACTGGAATTATATAGCCAACTGAAATTTAAGTTTGTTTTTGAAAGAAGTCTCTTCTGCTCACCACGGCTGCATTTATTTGATCAAAAATACAGTAAAAACAGTAATATTGTGAAATATATTTGCAATTTAAAATAACTGCTTTCTGTTTGAATGTGTTAAAATATAAATTATTCCTGTGATTTCAAAGTTGAATTTTCAGCATCATTCCTCCAGTCTTCAGTGTCACATGATCCTTCAGAAATCATTCTAATATGCTGATTTGCTACTCAAAAAAATATTATTAATATCAATGTTGAAAACAGAATTTAAAAGAACAGCATTTATTTCAAATCTTTTGCAACATTATAAATGTCTTCACTGTCATTTTTTATCTATTTTAATGCATCTTTATAAAAAAAATTAATAAGCTTAAAAAAATCTTACTGACCCCAAACTTTTGAACAGTAGTGTGTGTGTACAAAAAACAGCAGTTGCGTTCGTGCAAAACAAGTTTTTACCCTCATTTCAATGTTTATTAATCTTCAAGTACAGTATGTGTGACTGTCAACAATGAAAATCTGGGCTATTTGATCATTATAAAATAAAATTGAAATTTAAAAAAATAGGTAATACAGCTCTCTACAGTAATGCATAACATTAGCATATGTGTGACCTCAGTGCTCTTATGCAGTATTTACTATATGCACTTTATCATTTGTTGTATATGAGTTCAAACTGAATGTCTTCCAGTGTGGGTTGGTTACCTCAGGGCCACACTTGACCTCTGTTTTACGGCTGTCTGATCTATTTGCCTGCAGTGAAGCTCAACCGGACTCGGAGAAGAACCCGTTTCTACTGCAATCACCATCTGTGACCTTCATAAAAGCCTCTATTTGCTTGAGACAGCGTTCATAAAGCAAAAGACTGTTGATTCATAAATTGTGGAGTGCAGAGGCGTATCCTCTCCCGCTGCCTTTATGCTGCACATTACAGGAATCTAAAGCGTTGTAAATCTCAGAAGATACACTTTCTTCTACGGTTTCTCTCTGGTATTATCTGAAAAACCAATTGCTTTTCGATCATTATGCAGATAACAAAAAAAACAATAAAGATCAAGCATAAACTAAAAAATAACTTAAAATATAATTTATATAGACAATATATATTTATAGAATTCAATAATATAAGAATATAACTTGCATATGAATACAAAATAAATAAATATTATATATTTATTTAATATTTGTATGTAACATATAAACAGTAAATACAATATACAGTGGGTACGGAAAGTATTCAGACCCCCTTCAATT